CTGGAGGTGGTCAGGCAGCCATGGGGTGTTGCAGGGAGGAAGAGGGGAAGGTTAAGGGGAGGTTAGAGGTTAAAGACACTCCGAGTCTCCCTTTTCAGTGATTCTATTCCCTGCTGACAAAGATGAGTGATGGAAGGAGGAGAAAGCAGAGACAGAACACTGTTCTAGGTATTTCCAGAGCCCTGGGCTTGGGCCTGGTGGCCGGGAAGGTTCATCCCATCACTAGGGAGCACTAATGTCGCTGCAGCCTCTTCATTTATAAGGGGCAGGCAACAGGCAGCCACAGTCTCCTTTTGTAGATAAGGATTTCTTTAACCCACACATACCTCAGATGCAAGCGAGGTCAAAGATGCAGCCCCGTGTAAGCCTGAGCGATTCAGATAAAAGCGAAGCCAGCCACCAGCTTCCCTCTCTCATTAATGACCTCTCAATTAAAGCGATTTTCCGTTCCTCCCTGGCGTTGAGTGGCTGCCCGCATCTCAGAAAACTCAACGTGGTCCAGATCTCAGGGCGCTGAGTGAGAAGCGGGCAGAGCCAGCCCCAGCCCGCCCTGCCTGTGCCCGGCTCACATGTGAGAGTGCGGAGCGCTATCCCGTCTTCTAATTAAACTTGGCAGGATTACAATGAAAAGGAAGATCGGGGAGTTGGCAGCGTGGCACGTAAACAGACTTTTATGTGAATAATTAAGCCAGAGCTAAGCATATGCTGGAACCTCTTTAATCAACTTTCTGCTTTCAGTTACCGGTAAGAGGCCAAATGTTTCCGAAAAACTCCTAGCTGTTTATGTGCTGTGGTTACTTTGACATAGCCTCTTTGATACACTCGGCGTTATCTTCTTACCCATTTGGCCGGCTTTCCTTTTCCTTCTCATCTTCAAACCCATTTGGAAGAACTAATGATGGTAGGTAACTTGTGGAAAGGCCTTGTGCAAATGTGGATGCATAGAAGTCTTCTATGTCAACACACATGTGATCCCTCCAAGCCAGGAGAGTTCTCCGCTAGGTCATCAGAGGCCTGCCTTCAGGTAGGCCCTTCAATAAAACCCGGGGTGTTAGGATTAGATCCCAAGCTCTCTGGATGGGTTCTGTGGCCTCCAGAATTGACCATGTGGCCCGTATCTAGAGCCAGGACATCTCAGTTGACACTGGGATCTAAGTGAGGTGCTAATTACTCAGGTAATCACACAGGACCCCCTTGAACTTGGCTTCAACCTTCACACCTTTGGAACCACAGGCTGCTGAAATCCCAGGAAGTTTGGCTGTAGAGCAATTTCTATACGAGGTTTTCCAAACAAAAGGTGTTGAAGTTTTAAGAGACACTTGGGGAGTAAGATGCATTCCATGCATATGTGGAAGGCAGGTGAGAAAACAGCTTCCTAATGGATTGCCTTGTGTTTTCTAGATCTCTGAGTACAAAGCACTGACTGACTGACTGATTGACTGACTACTACTGAAGCTTTCCAAGTCCCATATCTCCTTTGTATTTCACTGCACCATCAACGCAGTGTCTGTTACGAGGAATGGGAGAATTCGGGAATGAGTGAGGGTGAGGGCGGAACCACAGTGATCAATGAAATTAAACACTGGTATGCATATACGTGTAGAAATGGCAAATGTTTGGCTAGCAATGCATATAATGCCATTCCAATCATCTTTAAAATGTAGGAAAATTGGAGTCCCTTTTTTAAGAGGCAAATTAATCTTCTTTTCTTGGGTCTTTAAATTTTTGATAATTTTGATTTTCTTTTTAAATTTAGAATTGACATCATTTCAGAGTCTAGGCGTGTGCCGCTTATATCCTATAGAAAATACTTAGATTCTTCTTGTTTGTAGAGGTCAAAGAGCTGGTTCTAATAGGAAATCTGGGTACAACAGAGCACACACACACACACACACACACACACACACACACACACACACGAATTTAGAATGTATAACATATTTTGTGGAGACACAAATCCATAACACTAACCTAGGGATATTTTATGTGTATCTTTTTCTTAATAGTCTTCTGTTTTGTATTCACCTCTCAAACCTGGAACATTTTCCCTGGAAATGGTAAAACCACTCTGTTGCTGTGAAAGTTCTTTAATATCTACTAGATGAGCATTTTCCTTCCTGTAGTAACAGGGTTCCCCCCTCTCCTTTTGCTGGTTAAAACAACAAACAAAAGCAGAGTGAGGGGAATGACTGAACGACTTCATCCCCTATGGATGCTCCGTCCTTTTCACTGTGAGACCAATAGCCGTCTGTACGTCTGTACTCGTGCTTCCTTGGTTGGTCTAGAGAGGTGAGCCCGGCTTACCTTGGACACAAAACATTCTGCTATGGCCACAGGGTCATTTTCACAGTTCTCCAAATCTTGCAAAAGTTCACTAAAGAAAAAGAAGAACAAAAAAACCCAGAAAGTATTAAATTGTACTTTTATAGCCAGTAAAACGTTCTATAGCTTCGAGGCTTAATTAGGTACGTGATGTTCTTAAGAAATCATATTGAAATGTACCACTCAGGTACATGCTGTGATTATACCTAAGGCTTAGGTAAGTGAATTGCTCCTGTTATACAGTGAAGCAGGGATCTGAACATTGGCTGGAGCAGTGAGCATACCACCCACAGAAAAGCTTGTCTGATTCTACAGGAGTCCCTGGGTGGTAAGATGATTAATGTCCTTGGCTGCTAACTGAAAAACTAGGGGTTCAAGCCCACTCAGAGGCACTTTGGAAGAAATGCCTGGCCATCGACTTCTGAAGAAACAGTCATGAAAACTCCATGGAGCACAGTTAACTCTGACACACGTGGGGCTCCCTTGAGTCTGAACTGACTGGACTACAGCTGCTTTTGACACTGACAGTCTTCTGGACAGTGGTCATTATTGCCTTCCTGCTCATGCACTTGTTCATCAGACCATTGTCTGCATCAGGCACTGCGCTTGGCACAGAGGACACACCGGTGAGGAAAGCCAGATCACCGGCATCCTGGGCTCACAATCCTGTAGAATGGTCATGCATCCCATGGACCACCATTCCCACCAATAGAAAATGACAAAGGAATGAGACATGGAAGAAAAGGTAGGGCAGCCAATGCATGTTCTCAGATCTAAAATTTATTTTATATTGGTTTGCCTATAAAATTAATCTACATTGTGTTTTACACTTAGCTTCATTCACATTGTGTCTCATACAATCATTCTTATACATTGTGTTTTATAAAATTATCATCATTGAACTATGACCATTATTATCCTGTCTTTTCAAGTCCCTGTCAGATTATATTCATTTCCTTTATCTGCTCCCTCCACCTACCAAATTGTATGACCCTGTGATTACTCCTGTGCCCACCCTCACCCTTCTGCTCCCACCTGTTCCCCTTAAACTCCCCCAAGTGTTTTACTAGTTATCCTTCTATTTTTACAATAATGGTCTTATGCAGTATTTATACTTAAGAGACTGAGTTTGTTCACTGAGCATAGTGCTCTCCTGTCTCTCCCAAGATATGTAGTATTTTTTAAAATTGTTGCTCCTGAGTGCTGCATAGTATCCATCATGTGAATGTACCACAATTTCTCAATCCATTTGATTGTGGTTGGACATTTAGGCTGTTTCCATGTTCTTGCGATGGTGAATAATGATGCTGTAAACATTGGTGTACAAATCTCCATTTATGTCTCAGTTCTAATTTCCTTGGGGTGTATTCCTAGGAGTTGAATAGCTGGGCCAGAAGAAATTTTTAGGTTCAGCTTTTTTAGGAATTGCCAAATTGCAGTCCAGAGTGGCTGTCCATTTTACAATCCCTCCACCAGTGTATGAGAGATCCAATTTCTCCACGTCTTCGCCAACATTTATACTTGCTGTCCTGTTAAACTTTGCCACTGCTAGTGGAGTGAGATAGTATCTCATTGTGGTTTTAATTTGCATTCTCTTATTGCCAGTGATTTTGAGTATTTCTTCATATGTCTGTTGGCCATCCAAATGTCTGCTTCTGTGAAAAGTCTTTCCATGTCTTTTTCCCCCATTTTATAATTGGGTTATTAGTCTTTTTCTTGTGGAGGCCCAGGAGTATTCTGTGAACTTCCGTTAGGAGATCCTTGTCTGAGATGGTATTGCCGAATGTTTTTCCCCAGTCAGTAGGTTTTCTTTTCACCCTGCTGGACAAAGTTTTTTAGGCACACAGGTAAACTGCCATTGTTTTTTAAGGCCATGTGCTTATTTTGGGTACCTCTGGGGGCTGCAAATGGCTAACTTGCTTGGCTGCTATTGCAAGGTTGGATGTTTCAGAGGTCACATGAAAGGAAGGCCTGGTAATGTACTTCTGAAGCATCCACCTTTAAAAGTTCATGGACCACAACCTTACTTTAGAACACATATGGGATCCCTTTGGTGGAGTTTACTGGTTGGAAACAGTTTGCTCTTTCTTGAATTTGATCATTATTTAAAATTGCTGTGTAATATTTCACTGTGTAGATTTACCATAATTAGCCTCTCACTTAATGTTGGTTAAAATGATATAAGTGGAATTTGAGTCAAAGCCTATTCTCACTATTAAGGTTGACACACTCCCAAATATACCCCATATAAGCTGTATTAATACACATTTTAATGCTGTATTTATTTTAATTACCTCCATGCTATATATTTAATAAGAATGAAAGAATTATCCAGTAATTATGATGAAGGCAAGCACTTTCTTGCCTTCTGCCTCCTCTTCTCAATTGCTACTCCCCAGAGCATGTTCAAGGCTGTCTGTAGGTCCGCATTTCTCACCAGGCTTGTATTTATTTTCATTATCATTCAGTTACTTACTTCTTAATGTCCCCAAACTTCCTCCCCTCCCATATCCTCATTAGTTCTATTATAGAATTTTATTAGATTACAAGCCTGTGTTCCCATTTGTAAGACATTAGAAATAGAGCTTACACGTTTAGATTACAAGACAGTGCTTACATTTCCTTTACTGTACCACTGTATTTTTCCTGGAGTTAAAATGTTCTCATTCTTTTCCTTTGCTGTCAAAGCACAAACCATTAGTTTATCGCCATACTTTGTATGAGAAGAATTCATCTCATCTCACTGTTTTCAAACATCCAGTAATGTGTCGATTAAATTTCTCTCCTGGTCACCTCCCTCCTCCTGCCCTCTGACCTGCTGCTCAGACCTGGCCAGGCTCTCTAGGCCTGCTGGTTTCCCATCACCTCCATCCGGATCATGCATTTCACCAATCTCTAATGTTGGATGCTTTGTTTCCCAAACATCATCGGTGATGTAGTCTCTCATTTGGAAGATGATAACATCCAAGAACACTTTCTCTGATTAAGGGTTGTTGTTGTTGTTATGTGCTATTGAGTTGGCTATGACTCATAGTAACCCTATGAACAATAGCTCTGAACCCTGCTCTATCCTGAGTCAATCAATTTCACTGTCTCTAACATACCTACCCTCATTACCCCAGTTACTGGGTCAATCCATCTCATCTGAGATCTCCTGCACTATCCCTCCATTCTTCCAAGCATGATATCCCTCTTCAAGTACTATTACCTCCTGGCAACATGCTCAAAGAATGTATGAGGAAGCCTCAAAATCCTTGCCTCGAAGAAGCAGTTGGGTTTCACTCTCTCCAAGACATAACTGTTAGTTCTCTCTACAGCCCAGGGTATGATCAATACACTTCTACAGCACCACAACTGAAAGGCATTGGTATTCCTCCTGTCATCCTTATTCATTGTCCAGCTCTCAGATGCACAGCAAGTAACTGAGAAGCCCATGGCCTCTATCAGCCACACCTTAGTCTCTAGACTGACCTTGTTGCTCTTCAGTACTCTGGAGAGAGAGGGTCTGGACAACAGAATTTTCTAACACAAATCATCATTTGATGTCTTGACTGCTAAGTGCCAAGAATATAGAGGATAATAGTAATGATAAGCCAGTTGCTTTTGAGTCAATTCCAAATCATGGAAAACCTCATGAGTGTAGTAAACTCAAAACTCGTGACTGTCAATTCTGACCCAGCTTTCAGCTAAGCCTCCAGCAGTGGGCTTTCAGAGCTGGAGATTGCATGGGGGAGAGTCCGTATCTTTCCACTTGGAGCTGCTTGTGGGATTCAAACCGCCAGAGAGGTATGGGCTTTGGAGGAGCAGCTCACCTCCTAATGACTATGTCATCAGAGTTTCCTCCTGTCTCTAATGTCCACCGTAACAAAGCTCGGCTGAATTTTCACATCTGCTCTGCTGTTAGTCTGTTACATTACCCTGTCTTGGTAGAAATACACAGGAAATGCTCAGTCTTACCCAGCTGTGCTCTTGGCAGAGGGGAGAACATTTTAGACATTTTCTCAGATATGTCTGGGTATCTTCTTGGATGCTGTTGTTGTTGTTGATTGCCTTCGAGTCGAGCATGGCTCATAGTGACCCTATGAACCAAAGGCCTGAAGCCCCACTACAACTATCGACATTTATCAAAGTTCATAGGAGTCATGTTGTTTAAGAAGTGGATGCTACTAGAACACTGAAATTCAGGCAGTGGTAGTTTATTAAATGTTGACTAGAGTCTGAACCACAGCAGTGAACGACACTTACTTTAAAGTCTGCCAAAATGCCTTGCACTTTGAAAGGATCTTTTATCCAAATACAAGCATTCTTTCCCAATCTTCCTATAAAAGACTCCTGTTTTCTTATCTAGTGCTGCTAGAACAGAATTACCACAAAGGGGAGCTTTAGCAAACAGAATTTTATTTGCTCACTGTTTAGGAAGCTAGAAATCCAGATTCTGAGTACCAGTTCCAGGGGAAGGCTTTCTTGTTCTGTGGAGGCGTCTTTGTCTCTTCTGAGCTTCTGCCCCTGGAGATAGATCTTCAAGTGCCTTGCATCTCTCTTCCCCCATCTCTTCTTTAGATTGCTTGTTTTTTCTTTCTTTGATATGTCAAAAGAGAATGACTTAAAATACACTTTCCACTAATTGTATCTCATTCTTAGAACCATAGGCACAGAAGGTAGGATTTATAACATATATTTTTTTGGGGATGCAGGTCACAATTCTCTGTATTAAGTTTATTTGTCATTTTGAGTATGTTGTTGTTATGTACTATCCAGTCGGACCCAACCCATAGCTGTCCCTCCAGCACATTTTAGAGGCAGTCAATCATACAAAGGGAGATTGCCCGTCCTTCTCCCACAGAGTGGCTGGTGTGTTTGAACTGCATGCCTTTAGGATTGTAGTGCAGCTTATCATTAGGCCACAAGAGTTCTTATATGTGTATCACTACCATTTGCAGAAAGATGTTGTTATGTGCTGTTGAGTTGACTACAATTCCCAGAATCTCTGTGAACAACAGATTGTACCATCCTTAGAACACCCACAACGCTCCAGCCCATTGTTGTAGTCTA